CCCCCAAAACCCCAAAACCCCAAAACCCCAAAACCCCTGTAAAATTTTACCAATTGGAAAAAATAATATATTAATAGGACTTATCGATATGGAATCGACTATGGTTAAGAGTAGCAAGAAGAGCCACAAAGCCTTTTCAAAGAGCCACCATAAGAGCTACCAGAAGAGTTATCAACGGAGTAATCATAAGTCTCACAAAATGAGTCATAAGAAGTCCTCGACTAGTAGACATAGGAAGGTAAGCAGTTGAATGAGCGGTTTCATTAACTTTTCATAGTGACTAGGCACGAGGTTTGTAGAAGACTACTTTGATAAGGTCTTTGAACAAGAAGAAGGAATGGATATGAAAAGGATCAACCTTGATTACCTTAAAACAAGATTTCCTTTGGGCAATGAAAATGATAATAGCAAGAAATAAAGAGTTTGTTGATTCTAATATAAGCAATGACGAAATATTTTCTCCCAGTCTTATCTCCGATGATAAGGAGCAGACAAAGAAGGTACGCACCTCAGGGTTGAATATGTGATTCAACTGTGATAAGAAGTTTACTCTTTTCCATCGGAAAAAGATATGCAAATTCTGAAAGCACCACTTTTGCTCAAATTGTACAAAGAATATCAAGAATCCTAAATATGGAAAAATTAAAGTTTGTGGCAATTGTGAGGAAAAGAACAACAGGTAAACTTAGAAACCCATTTTTGCTCCAAAATTTAACCTTGAAAATGATAGATTTCTGGTATAGATTAAATGAAGTTAGAGATAGACATCAGCAATTTGATATACAGGAAGAATCTAAACGGTTTGAGAACAAGCTGTCTGGCTTAAGTGGAGGCACTGATGATGATATGGAAAAACTAGCAAAATCTGATTCCTTTGATCACAACTTATTCCTCAGTCAGTCATTAGACTCCTGAGATCCTAAGATCAGCCATATCGATATTGAAGATGAAGACAATGAAATCAGTAAGTTAATCCTTATTTGTTTTCTAGGTGAATTTCACAAGAAAAAGACTAGAAGGAGCATTTCTTGAAATGATGCTAAGGGATCAGACATTGGTGCTTCTGAAAGTAGGCCAACACCTAAATAAGTAAGTCAAAATTCATCAATTTTCCAGAAGATTTCTCACTATCTTTTTAAACTTTACTGACGAAATCATAGGGAATGCAGAGGGTTCTTCAAAGGACTTACAATGAGAAAAGCCGCAAATGATACTGAGCAAAAGAAGGAACCCTCTCTTAAAACCTTGGTTAAGAAGAAGCCAAAGCAAAAGCTTAATAGTAGCTTATTGAAAGAGCACGACAATCAGCAAAAGAATCAATACGAGCTTCCATCGATAGAGCTTAGAATTCCTGAAGAAAATTATATAGAGGACATAACTGAACTAAATGACATTGAAAGCTGTCCTGAAGCTATAAATAGATACTTGGAGAAGAAGTATCTCTCTCAGAAATTTTTAGAATCAAGCACTTCAGAATTGATCAAGATAGAGAACGAGTTCATCTCAGGGCTGAAATTTGAATTCATGGTGAACAAGATTCTCGAAAGCCACAACGTTGCTCACAAATGGTAAGGATTAAGCTTATTTAGTAGGTATTACCCGATTCATTCATTTGTGGAAAAAATAGTAAGAACTATTAAACCTAATCTACACCTCCCAAATGAGGTTGTTCACTTCAAAGATTACGTCACTATCAGAAAGGTGAAATGGATGAACCATCTTAAGTGAGAGTATGTCTCAGGTATGGTGCTCGAGAACTACATTGCTGATAGAAGAATGAGGCAGAATATTCTCAACCCTCAAATAGTTCTAGTAGAAGGAAATCTCACCTTTGAAAATAACAGAAAACAAGCTTGTATGGATATTGAAAGTATCATGAAGCAAGACAAAACGTTTGAGAAATTAATTGAAAAGATAGTTAGTAGAGCCAAACCTGATATTTTGGTATTTGAAGGCTCAGTCTCTCGGAAAGCAGTCGAAATTATTCGTGACTGAGGCTGCACTTTAATCATGAATGTTGGTAAGAAAGATATTCAAACACTTTCCAATCTGACCAAAGGTGATATTATCCCATCTATCGAATTTTTAAATGAAGAATTTGTGAAAGGATCTTGCAAGGAATTCATCATTCAAGATCAAATGGGAGGAAAAAGAGATAACTCGAAGACTTCATCTAATTTACAAAATCTGGTATTTTTCAAAGATTGTGATCCCTCTCTTGGATGCACAGTAACTTTCAGTGGAACTGATACTGATGAACTTGACAAGATTGAAAAGGTATTTGAGAGGGTTCTTGTCGCATGTAGAGAACATAAATTGGAAATGGAATTTGAAAGAAAGCAGTATGCATCAATCTTAAGCAAAACCATTGAGATAAAAGAAATCAAGAGCCAGAACATTTGTCATTTCCAATACGAGCCAATGGTAAAGTAAAACATAAAAAACCTAACCCAGATTAATGAACACCAAAATAAGTCAATAACTTAAAATTTCTGAGGGGTTTTGGGGTTTTGGGGTTTTGGGGTTTTGGGG